TGTCGATCTTTCAATATATGAAAAGGAATACATTGCAATTTTATTGGTTGTCTTCAAATGGAGACATTATTTGGAAGGGGCTCAATTTGTGATTAAAACATATCATGAACCATTGAAATATCTCTTGGAACAAAAGCTCATGACTACAATGCAGAAGAGGGGTTTGACTAAGCTTCTAGGCTTAGATTATATTATTCAATATCGCAAAGGGAAGACAAATTTGGTGGTAGATGCTATGTCTAGGAAATTTGAAGATCAATGTGTGTGTCATTCTATAGATGCAACTTCAATTATTCCTAATTGGATCCAGGACATTGAAGCAAGTCATGTGAGTGATGGTACAACCAAGGAATAGATCTATCTTGACAGTAAGACCCTCGGACAATCTTACATGGCGGTACAAGAGAGGTATTCTTCAATATCAAGATAGAGTATGTGTGGGAGAAACTGGTGACTTATGAATGACTATTTTACAAACTCTACACGACTCCACACAAGGAGGACATTCGGGAGTGCAAGCAACATATCAACGAGTTAAACTTGTAACGCCCCGGATCCCGAGTTAGGAGTTTCGGGCTAACCCGGAGTGGACTTTAGTTTAATTTTTTAGTTTATGGAAAACTTTGACCCAATTTGGATTTATTTTGGGCTTGAGTATTATCCCAATAATGATAAAAAAAAAGGGTAAAATCATGTTGCAACCAAAATCAGAGAGACCAAGGAGGTGATTTTGCCATTTTAATTTCAAAAGCCTGAAAACCCATTAAAATGGGTGATATCACGTCTGAAGCATGTCTCCCTTTTTCCTTCACCAACTCTTGTCTTCTTCTCCTATCTCATCTTCATATTCTTCCTTCAACCAAGTTAAAACCTCGATACTTTATAGATTTTCAAGTGTTTTAAGGACAATCTAAGGTAAAAATCAGCACACTTTCACCTTTAGTTCCATTTTAAGCTCCCAAACACAAGGTTTGGCCATGGTTTTAGGAAAATGGGTTTTAGGAGGGTTTAAGAAACCTTTGAGTTTTAGTCTAATTTTCAGAAACTTTAGACCTTTAGAAGTGTTTTTAAACCTTTCTAAAATCCTAGAATCAGATGGTAACCCATGCATTTGTTTTGTTTAGAGAAAAAAGTTAGAGAAAGCACCAAAACTAGGGGAAGGAAAAACTTACCTTAAGTTGAGCAATTGCCCTTTCCAACAGCTTAGACACTTAGGTAACTAACTTCTAACTTAACTTTATTATGTGTAAGTCATTTAGATGAAATGAAGTAGGATTGCATGAGCTTGAAGTATTTCCATGGTAGATGCATGATTTGGGTGTTTCAACATGTTTTTAGACCTATTTATGATCCCTAATATCACATAAAACACTTAATTATCAGTTGGGGACCTCACTAGGGGTTTTGAGGTAGAAAGATAGGATCTTTCAAGCCAAAATAGGGCTTTTCGTAGTGGGTATCGATATTGTTCTTCAGCCAAGCTTAAAATATGCAATTTTCAAGGGGGAGTATCGATACTCATTCATAGAGTATCGATACTGGAGTCCTGGCCTCGATACTGATCAGATTGGTTTCGAGACTAAAATTCTAGAATACAATTATTATACCAATACTCACATAGAGTATCGATACCAAGTCAGGGGTTTCAATACTACAAGGGTGGTATCAATACTGGAATTATTTTTTAGAACATCGAACATAAATTTGGTATCGATACTCATGTTAGTATCAATACCCCAGAGCCAGAATATCGATACTCATTCATGGGTATCGATACTACCTTACCCAAATAGCCTACGTCAGTCAGTAGGTATCGATACCAATATATGGGTATCGATACCAAGTGGCTCAATATCGATACTGAGGTCTCAATATCAAATCTGATAGATAATTTTTAATAAATAATTCAAGGGACTTTAGATCAGACCCAAGGTACCCCAAACACACCCGAGTAGCGACAAATAAGACTTCAAGCAATAACTGTAAATAATATCATAACATTAGAAACAATAATAGCTAGGTTTACATAAAACTGGCATTGGTTGATGCTCGAGAAACAATCAGGACACCTAAGTTTTTTCTAGCAGAATATGACAGTTAATAGATCCAACTCAGTGCTACAACACTTTTTTCCAACTGGGTGCTAGATGCCCCAACACTCGACGGAGTAAGTTGGTAGGTGTATGTTTTCGATGCAGAATTACAGACCTTACCCAGGTGTATCCATGGGTACATTGGCAGTGCTAGAGGGGTGTGTGAGCTCTGAGATGCAAAATCCCTCAATCGTATCTTGATGGCATCCATATATTAGCAGTTCAATAGTTGTATACTTAGATATGTGCCATTTGTAATTTTATTTAATGAATGCATAAGGTATAATACAACTTTTAGTGAGTCACAGAGCTCGTAAGCTCAGCGATTGGAATGTGTTTCCATGCACAAGTTGTTAGGGTCAATTCATGGAGAGTTATCGTCGACAGATATTCCAGTACAGCAGATCAGATTCCCAGAGACCTTCAGAGTATGTCGTAAGTCATCTTTAGAGGGCATGTACTGTTATGGACCCTTATTATGTATTTAGTAATAACTCTTTTTGGAACTCAATATTTCGTATTATTTTGTGGATGTATTTTGGGAGCTCCCTTTTTTTGTAAACCCAGTTTATTACATTTTATTTTATCACTATGGATGAATTATTTTCAGTGATTATAAATAATTTTAAAAGAAAAAATTTGGGCCACTATTTCGGTAGTCCCGTGTAACATTGTAATCCATGGATTTTTGGGTCAAATGGATTAGAGTTTTATATTAACGATATTAGAGTAGCCAAGTTTAGTCATTTTTAGGACCCGCGTGTTAGATTTAGTTAGCGACTGTATAAGTACATGCCTTTAGGGAGTTTAGAATACTTTAACAACTAGAATGACGATAATAACCCCTTTTTCTTTCTAATTTTAGATATAAATTTAAATCATAGTCAGGATGGCAGAGACGAGAGTCATGCCTCACTAGCCTCATATACAGAAGATGAGTTCGTTCCAGACACATTCCAACAAGAGGCTCTAGTAGATGCGGGGGTAGAGGAGTCGACCTTTTTTAGGGACCTCACCTCCGTATTTATGCAAATAGCTAGGTCACTTCCTAGTTCTTTAACTGAACCACCTCCTCCACCAGTACCTCCAGCTCAGCCAGTAGTCATTCTCTAAGAGTCTCTAGTAGAGTGATTATGCATATATAAGACCATTGAGTTCTTTAGTTCAGAGGATGAGGACCCAATAGCAGCAGACCAATGGCTCAGAGAGACGCTTCGCACCATCAGACAGTTACATCTTACCCCAACGGGTAACCTAGCGTGTGTCACATCCCTGCTTAAAAATGAAGCAATAGATTGGCGGGAGACTTTTGAGATAGCGATAGAGCCAGAGAGGCCAACTTGGGAGTAGCTCCTCACCGAGTTCTGTGATAAGTACATCGGGCAGATCCACACCGATGACCTGATGAAGTTGTTCCTGCACTTGACTCAGTTTAATCGCTTAGTATTAGAGTATGAGCAAGAGATTCTCAGGTTTAGCAAATATATCACATATCTGATCCCGACTGCGGAGTGTCGCTATTACTGGTTCAGAAAGGGATTTCGTTGTGACATTTTGACCCACCTAATAGCTGATCCTCTCAGGGTCTTCGTTCATCATACTTACCAGGCAAATACAGTTTAGAGGGCTTTGAATAGGTAGGATAAACAATCTAGTGAGATGACATGATAGATTATGAGAGCCACTGAGTCAGCAGGCCTCCACACACTCCAACTAAGAGGGCTAGGGATAATCAGGGTTCTTTGAGGTCCTAGTAGTAGAGTCCAGGAAGAGTGGGCAGAGTTTGGGTCGCGAGGGTAGGTCTAACTTGAGGAGGAGACCATTGAATTTAATGTATGAGAGTACAACCAGTGAGACAGCTAAGGGGTTCACCTATACCATATGTGCTCAAAGCGGGAAGAGACACCTGGGCACATTCCAGCTAAGATTTGAAGGTTGATACAATTGTAACTCCATGGGTCATTTCAGTAAAGATTGCCTTGGAGTTTAGGGTGCGACATCATCGACGACTTAGCGATTGACACATCAATGCAGAGGGGCTCAATGTCAACCAGGGGTGGTAGTATTGTTTCTAGAAAGTAAAGCTATGGCATGGTTAGATCGATGGCTAATGCAGAGCTTAGAAAGACTTCAAAACAATATAAAGTGCAAGATCAACAGGAGGTTGACGTGACAGATGTCATTTCAGGTACCTTTACAGTCTTTTCCTTACTTGTTACCTCATTTATAGACCCCAGTTTCACCCACTCTTACATTTTCTCAAACCTAGTTTAAGAAATAGAAATCCTAGCAGAGGATCTAGAGACTGGTGTTCGAGTTTCAAGCTTCTTAGGTCTAGCTATCATGGTGAACAAAATGTTTAAACGATCCCCCGTGAGGATTTAGAATCAGACTTTTTCAACAGACTTGATAAAGTTACCCTTCAGGGAGTTCGACTTGATCTTGGCGATGGATTGACTAGCCGAGCACGATATCAGTTTGAGGTATAAAGCCAGTAAACTTAAGCTTAGAGCAGTCGGTGGAACCAAGTTGGTGATGACCAGTGAGAGATCTCGTCAGACGATGATATTATCAATTCTAAAAGCCCAAAGGATGATCGATCGTGGGTGTGAGGTCTTTTTGGCTCATATGGTCAACACTCGAATTTTAGCACCTACACTTGAAGATGTTCGAGCATTGCAAGATTTTCTCAATGTTTTCCCAAAAGAGTTATCTGGTTTGCTACCTGAGTGTGAGTTGGAGGTCGATATTGAGGTAATGTCAGGTTCAGCTCCAGTGTCCATTATTCCATATCGCATGGCACCGACTGAACTAATGGGGTTAAAGGATCAAATTCATGAGTTGCTAGAGAAGGGCTTCATCTGACCAAGCATCTCTCATTGGGAAGCGCCAATCTTGTTCGTTAAGATGAACAATGGGTTGATGAGGCTAAGCGTCGACTATAGGCAGTTGAACAAGTTGACCATGAAGAACCATTACCCACTTCCTAAGATAGAAGACCTCTTCGACCAGCTTAAAGGTGTGTATGTCTTTTTAAAGATTGGCATACGATCATGTTATTATTAATTGAAAGTTAAGAAAGATGACATGGGAAAGATAACTTTTAGGATGAGGTACGATCATTTATGAGTTCTTGGTTATACCGTTTGGACTCACCAATGCCGGCGGTATTCATGGACCTAATAAACTACATTTTCACCCATACTTGGATAAGTTTGTGGTGGTGTTTATAGACGGCATCCTGGTGTACTCCCCATCAGAGAATGAGCATGATCAACATCTCCGTATTGTTCTTCAGACGATCAGAGATAGACAGTTGTGTGCCAAGTTTAGAAAGTACGAATCTTGGCTATTAGAGGTTTCTTTCTTAGGCCATGTCATTTTAGTAGATGACATTAGAGTCGATCCTCAGAAAATCCAAGCAATAGTTGAATAGGAGCCACCTAAGAATGTGTCAAAAGTGCGCAGTTTCCTTGGCCTAACCGGGTATTATTATTGGTTTGTTCAAGGCTTCTCGATGATAGCAATCCCGTTAACCAAATTGCTTAAGAAATGAGTTCTTTTTATTTGGAATGAGAAACGTTGGGATAGCTTTGAATAGTTGAAGGTCGTCTTAACCCAAGCCCCAGTGTTGACCCAACCAGAGTCGGGTAAGGACTTCACAGTTTACAACGATGCTTCATTAAATAGACTTGAATGTGTTCTGATGCAGGAGGGTATAGTTTTAGCTTACACGTCCCATAAACTTAAGCCTTATGAGCGTAGTTACCCTATTTATGACCTAGCACTAGTGGTGTTCGCTTTGAAGATTTGGTGACACTATCTTTTTCAGAGAGAAATGTCATATCTTTACTGATCACAAGAGCCTCAAGTATTTTTTTTTCACTTAGAAAGAGTTGCACCTTAGACAGTGCATATGGGTCAAGTTGCTTAAGTGCTACTACTGTACGATAGATTACCACCCAAGAAAGGTTAATGTCGTAGTAGAAGCCTTATGTAGAAGTCAATATCAGAATTGTGAGGCCTTCTAGCATAGAAGGGTTTGACCAGTGATGGTGGGTTGTTAGCCGAGTTGCAAGTTGAGCCAGAATTGATAGGTGAAACCAAGATATTGTAGAGTTTGGATGACCGATTGAGAACTCAGATTGAGCATGTCTTTCAGGATGAGGTCCCAGGTTTTGAGTTGTGCGATAAAGATTTGTTGTACTTAGGACTCATTTGTGTGTACCCGCAGACACTCAATTGCGTAATAAGATTCTCCATAAGGCACATTGTAACCCTTTCATAGTTTACCTAAGCAGTAACAAGATGTATCAAGAGCTTCTTCATTTATACTTTTGGCTGAATATGAAAAGGAGAGTGTCAGAGTTTGTCACTAAGTGTCTAGTGAGTTAGCAGGTTAAAGCAAAACACCAGGTTTCCTCAGGATTGTTTCAGCCCATTCAGATTCCTCAATGGAAACGAAATAGGGTAACCATGGATTTTGTGATCGAGTTACCAATGACGAGATAGAGACACGATGCAGTTTGGGTCATAGTAAACCATCTGACCAAATTAGCTCACTTTCTCCCAGTTAGGATGGACTATATCTTAGAGAGGTTAGCTCAATTGTACATTCGTGAGATTGTGAGGTTGCACGGTGTACCAACTTCCATCATATCAGACAAAGATCCTCAATTCACTTCTTGCTTTTATAAATCTCTCTAAGAATCCTTAGGCACCAAGCCACAGTTTAGTACAACCTTTTATCATCAGATAGATGGCCAATCAGAATGAGTTATCTAGATCCTCGAAGTCATGTACATGTGTACTATCATCGATCTAGAGGGTAGTTGGGAAGACCACTTGTCGTTAGTGGAGTTTGCCTACAACAATAATTTTCAGTCGAGTATTCAGATGGTATTGTATGAGGCATACGATGCCTTGTATGGGCGCAAGTGTAGGACTCCAATTTGTTTGATAGATCTCAGTGAGGATAAGATTCTAGGTCTAGACTTGATCAGGGAAATAGAGGAGAAAGTTTGATTGATTCAGAGCTGGCTTAAGGAGGCTTCTAACAGATATAGGTTTTATACGGATTTGAAGCGTAATGATATTGAGTTCGTAGTTAGGGATAAGATGTTCCTCAAGGTTTCCCCTTGGAATAAGGTACTCTACTTCAAGCGTAAAGGAAAGTTGACTCTGCGCTTTATAGAACCTTACATGGTATTTGAGAGAGTCGGACCAGTGGCTTCAGGTTAGCCATACCACAAGAGTTGGAACGCATTCACAACGTGTTACACGTATCTAGGCTCAGAAGATACCATTTCAATCCCTCGTACGTCTTACCCTTAAAGCATATAGAGGTTAACTCAGATATGACCTATTTAGATAACCTAGTGAGAATCTTGGCAAGTGAAGTGAAAGAGTTGAGGAATAAGAGGATACCTTTTGTAAATGTGATATGGAGGAACTATGGCATCGAGGAGGCTATTTGGGAAATCGATGAGGACATGTAGCTTCAGTACCCTCACATCTTCTATCCAGGTAAATTTTGAGGATAAAATTTTAATTAGGATGGAAGAGTTGTAACGCCACGGATCCCAGGTTAGGAGTTCGGGCTAACCCTGGGTGGACTTTGGTTTAATTCTTTAGTTTATGGAAAGCTTTAACCCAAGTTGGATTTATTTTGGGCTTGGGTATTAGTCCAATAATGATATAAAGGGGTAAAATTATGTTAAAACAATAATCAAATAGACCAAGGAGGTGAATTTACCATTTTAATTTCAAAAGCCTAAAAACCCCATTAAAATGGGTGATATCACGTCTGAATCATGTCTCCCTTTTTCCTTCACCAACTCTTGTCTTATTCTATTCTCTCATCTTCATCTTCTTCCTTCAACCAAGTTAAAAAACTAGAGACTTTATAGATTTTCAATTGTTTTAAGGACAAGCTAAGGTAAGAATAAGCACCCTTTCACCTCTAGCTCCATTTTAAGCTCTCAAACATAAAGCTTGGCCATGGTTTTAGAAAAATGGGTTTTAGGAGGGTTGAAGAAACCTTTGAGTTTCAATCTAACTTCAGAAAATTTAAACCTTTATAATTATTTTTAAACCTTTCTAAACCCCAAGCTTCAAATGGTAACCCATGCATTTGTTTTGTTTAGAGAAAGAGGTTGGAGAAAACTCCAAAGCTATAGGAAATGAAAAACTTACCTAGGGTTGAGCCATTGACCTTTCTAGTTGCTTAGACACTCAGGTAACTCACTTCTAACTCAACTTTACTATGTGTAATTCATTTAGATGAAATGAAGTAGGATTGCATTAGCTTGAAACATTTCCATGGTAGATGCATGATTTAGGTCTTTCAACATGTTTTCAGACCTATTTATGACCTTAGTATAACATAAAACACTTAATTATTAGTTGGGGACCTCACTAGGGTTTTAGTGTAGAAAGATAAGATCTTTCGAGCCAAAACATGGCTTTTCGTAGTAGGGGTATTGATATTGTTCTGCAACCAAGCTTAAAATAGATAATTTTCAAATGAAAGTATCGATATTGGAGTCCCTGTCTCAATACTGATCAGATTGGTATCAAGACTGAAATTCCAGAATGTAATTCTGTTATCGATACTTACATAGAGTATCGATACCAAGTCAGGGGTATCGATATTACAAGGGTGGTATCGATACTGGGATTATTTTTCAGAACATCAAACCTAAATTTGGTATCAACACTCATATTAGTATCGATACCCCAGAGCCAGAGTATTGATACTCATTTATGGGTATCGATACTACCTTACCCAAATAGCCTACGTTAGTCAGTGGGTATCGATACCAACATATGCTTATCGATACTGAGGTCTCAATATAGGTACTGACTGATAGTTTTTTAATAAATAACACAATGGACTTTTGATCAGACCCGAGGTACCTCAAACAAACCCGAGAAATAGAAAATAAGACTTCTAGTGATAATTGTAAATAATATCAAAACAGTAGAAACGATAATAACTAGGTTTACATAAAACTAGCCTTGGTTGACGCTCAGGAAACAATCAGGACACCTGAGTTCCTTCTAGCAGAATGCGACAATCAATAGATCCAAATCAGTTGTACGATACTTCTTTTCTGAGTGGGTGCCAGATGCCCTAAGACTCGACAGAGTAAGTTGGCAGGTATATGTTTCCGAAGTAGAATTTTGGACCTTGCCCAGGTATGCCCATGGGTACATCAGCAGTGCTAGAGGGGTGCATGAGCTCTATGATGCAGAATCCCTCAGCCACACTATGATGCTAGCCACAGATTAACAGTTCAGTAGTTGTATGCTCAGACATGTGCCACTTGCCATTTAATTTAGTGAATACATATAATATAGTACAATTTTTATGGAAGCACTAATCTCGTAAGCTCAGTGTTCAGAATGTGTTTCCATGTACAAGTTCTTAAGGAAAATTCGTGTAGAGTTATCATCACCAATATTCCAGTGCAACAGATCAAATTCCCAGAGACCTTCAGAGTACGTCCTGAGTCATCTTTAGAGGGCATATACTGTTATGGATCCTTGTTATATATTCAGTCGTAACTTTTTTTGAAACTCAATATTTGGTATTATTTTGTGGATGTATTTTGGGATCTCCCCATTATTTTGTAAACCTAGTTTATTACGTTTTATTTTATTACTATAAATGAATAATTTTCAGTGATTATAAATAATTTTAAAAGAAAAAATTTAGGTCACTGTTTTGGTAGTTCCGTGTAACATCGTAATCCATGGATCTTCAGGTTAAACTAGATTAGGGTGTTATAAAACCTCACTTCTATTGGCTTGGTATGAAGAATATGATTGCTATCTATATTCAGCTTTGTGATGTTTGCCAACGTATTAAGGTCGAGCATGTGCCAAAACCATGACTTTACAGCCCTTACCAATTCCTAATCAGGCTTGGGAGGTAATAACCATGGACTTTATTGATGGGTTGTCTAATTCTCTTAAGAAAAAATGCATATTTGTTGTAGTGGATAAAGTTTCCAAATATACACATTTTTTGTCCATATCACATCCATATTCTGCTATGTAATTGCAAGGCTTTATTTGGATCAGTGGATAGGTTACATGGGCAGCTGAAAGTGGCAATTTCAGATCGTGACAAGACTTTTTACAAGCTCTTTTGGAAGGAGATGATGAAACTATTGAGGACATCTACACTGTTAGCACAGCCTACCACCGTGAAACAAATGGTCAAACTAATCGAGTTAACCAGTTTTGTAGCAGCACCTAAGGGCTTATGTTTCATTAAACCAATGCAGTGTACTCGTTGGCTACCACACGCAGTGGTGGTATAATATTTCATACCAGACTCTAAAGTTAACCCTTTATAGGATTTATATGGATATAAGCCACCTACACTAGCTTAATAGACAGACTCAGCAGTGCATAGTGTCAGTGAAATGCTTCATGAACGAAAGCAAATGTGACAAACAATTAAAGACCAACTACAATAAGCTCATCAACGTATGAAACATCAAGTAGATAAATACATAAGTGAGTGTGAATTCGAAGTAGGGTTTGGAGTATATCTCAAGTTACAACCATATCATCAAACTACTTTCCATTACAAAAAAACCTTAAATTGGCTGTAAAATTTTATGGTCCCTACAAAATTTAGATTGAACTAGGAAGGTAGCTTACCGATTGGATCTCCCAGCTCAATCACACATCCATCCAGTCTTTTACGTGAGTATGTTAAAAAAGTGACTCGGGGATGCCATTGTGCCAACAACAGATCCTCCACCAAAATAGGTGATGGTGAGATAACCACTTATCCATAGGCGATTATAGGCAAAATGATAGTGATTCGGCAAAATAAACCTAACACACACTTCTGGTGGTGAATATGGACTCATCTCACGATACTTGGGAAGATTATACAGTCCTTCGAGGGCAATTTCCTGAGTTTGATCCTTGGGGATAAGACTCATCTCATGGAGGGGTATTATCATGATTAGGGGTGAGGAGAAGAAGTGCAAAGCGAAGGGACTTGGGAATTTGGAAAGTGAACGAGGGATTGGGCTAGGGATTTCAAATGAGGACTTGGGGAAATTAGGGGCACTTGAAGGGCACGTGATAATTAAAACCAAAGTTGAAGGGGAAATTAAAAACAAGTAAATAAGGCATAAGCCCAACCAATTAGAAGGTTCTATAGTTTGTTACAACAGTGGCCAATTGTCATCCTCAGTACCTTCTGAACAAATAAAATGATTTACTAGAAAGGGAAGTTTTTTATGATTGAATTGAATGAATCTAAGATTCTTGAATTCCCTTTCTTCTCTTCTTTAATCTCCATTTTTTATTCTCTTCAAATACTCTTCTTCTCTCACAGGGTCGTCACAAATTGTTATTGTTATCGTATCCGATGTATAACACAGCAGGAGTAGGGTTTGACAATTTGCTCATTCCATCAGCAGTTTCAGGAGTCCATTGTATATATTTTGTACTTAAAAATAGGATAGGATCATTCTTTTCGATAGAATAATACAGATCTATTTTGTATTATGCTCTTATTTTTTGTACATGAATGATAATTCCTCAAGGATCTAATCTACAAATTATTTGGTTGTTTTCCCATGTTAAACCCTAAACCTAACACTTATTATTTTTATTGAGTCCAATCTCCTATAAAATGACATGTCGATTTTTTTACAGAGAATGGAGATTTTTATTTTATTTTAGAGAACATAAAAATTATAATTTTTTGATTAATTATAATTAGTTGAATAGAATATATTATATGATTTTTTCTAATGGAATAAATTATGCTATTAGTCTCAAATCTTTCAAAAATAATTGTTTTAGATCACTCTATCACGATTAATGAAAGATTATATATTGAATTTTCTAATATTTTTGAATTTGTTAATTAATTATTAATAAAATAAATATTTTTTATAAAATAATATATTTTAGGTAAACCACGGATTTAGTACCTAAACTATCAAATTTTGAACCTTTTTAGTACCCAAGCTTTCAATTTTTTCAAATTAATACCTAACGTTTAGATTTCATTTTATTTTAGTAACCCATCGTTAAAAACTTAACGTGTTTAGTTCCTAAACTATCAATTTTGGTTTGTTTTAGTACATAAACTTTCAATTTTTTCAAAACTTAACTTTAAATTTTGAATGGATGTACTAAAATAAAACGAAAACTAAAGTTTTTACAGTGGGTACTAAAATGAAACAAAAATTAAACTTTAGGTATGATTTTGAAAAAAAATGAAAGTTTAGGTATTAAAACAAACCAAAATTTTAGTTTACGTACTAAACACAAATTTACCCACCCTATATTTTAATATGTTGCCTTTTCAAATGAATGATGGATGTTGGATTCTATGGTAAGCCCATGATCAACTTAACAATCTTCCCTAGTAAACAAAACATTCCTAACGACAAAAATATTATTCGAAACTAGAAAAACCAAAAGAAATATGTACTAGTTGGGAATCTAACCTGGG